ATGGATATATCCCTTAAGAACCAAGGATCAAGCCCTGTCCAAATTTAAAGAGTGGAAAGCCCTAGTAGAAAATCAGCTAGACAGGAAAGTAAAAGCTCTAAGGACTAACAATGGATTAGAGTACTACAACACTGATTTTGATAAGTTCTGCAGCAAGCAAGGAATTCTAAGACATAGAACAGTAAGAAAAACTCCTCAGCAGAATGGAGTAGCTAAGAGAATGAATAGGACTCTCATAGAAAAGGTTAGATGTTTGCTTTTCACCTCAAGTTTACCTAACACTTTTTGGGGAGAGGCTTTGTCCACTGCAGCCTACCTAATAAACAAGAGTCCCTCTACTACCATAAACTTTAAATGCCCTAAAGCGGTGTGGTCTGAGAGAAAGCCTGGTTTAAATCACCTGAGAATATTTGGGTGTGTAGCCTATGCACACACAGTAAGGGGAAAGTTAGAACCCAAGTCCACTAGGTGTGTGTTCCTAGGATATCAAGATGGGACCAAGGGATACATATTCTGGGATAGAGAATCACCAGGGGTAAAAATCATCATTTCAAAGGATGTAGTGTTTAATGAAGGGGTGTTCCCATGTAAAGCCACTGACTAGGACACAGTCAATCACACTTCACCTGAACACACAGACAACTCATTTGGGACTACAACAATTGAGGTGGAGCTTGTGGGTCAGCAGGCTAGACCATCTCAATCTGATAATAAACAGGTACCAGAAATCCAACCAGAACCAGATGGTCCAGAATCTAAAGAGAAAGAAGTTGTAACAAATGCATTAGAGCCACAACATGCCCAACTGGAACACTACCAACTTGCAAGGGACAGAATAAGAAGAGAGGTAAGACCCCCTGCCAGATTCTCTTATGCTGAACTAATATACACTGCCTTACTTGTAGGAACAGAGATTCAAAGAATAGAACCAGACTCATATGAAGAAGCAATGAATTCCAAAGAAAAGGAAAAGTGGAGAGCAGCAATGGAAGAGGGAATGAGATCACTTAAGGTAAACAAAACCTGGTCCTTAGTCCCCAAACCTAAGGACTAGAAACTGATCCAATGTAGATGGTTGTATAAAATAAAAGAGGGCATTTTAGCTACTAACCCACCTAGGTACAAAGCTAGGTTAGTTGCGAAGGGATATACCCAATGGGAGGGAATAAACTTCAATGAAGTCTTTCCCCGGTAGTCAAGTACAAGACCATTAGGCTAATGCTCTCCATAGTTGCCCACTACAACCTTGAGTTAGAACAAATGGACGTAACCACTGCCTTCTTGCATGGCAACTTAGAAGAAGAAATTTACATGTGCCAACCCTTAGGCTTGTTGACTATAAAGCCCCTGATCATGTTTGCATCCTGCACAAATCACTATATGGACTGAAACAGTCCCCTAGGCAGCGGTACAAGAGGTTTGACACTTTCATTCTAAGCATAGGGTTCACTAGGAGTAAATATGACAGTTGTTTTTATTTTAATTTGAATAAGGATCTGCTTGTTTATCTCTTACTGTATGTGGATGATATGTTGCTGGTGAGTAAGTCCAAGTCAAAAATACTTGAGTTAAAGGGAAAGCTTAAGTCAGAATTTGACATGAAGGATCTAGGAAATGCAAAAAGAATCCTAGGAATGGACATTACTAGAAACAGGAGCAAACATGACCTAAAAATTAGGCAAAAACCATACCTGGAAAAACTGGTGTCTAAGTTTGGTATGGCAGACTAAAAAATGGTGCTTATGCCTCATGTAGACCATTTTGTGTTAAACAAAGGTCAATGCCCTAAAACCGAAGCTGAACTAGTAAAAATGGAATCTGTTCCCTATGCGAATGTTGTTGGATCTGAGATGTATGCAATGATTAGCACCAGACCAAACCTGTAATTTTCCATTTCATTACTGAGCCGATTTATGGCTAATCCAGGCAGTAAGCACTGGGCTGCTTTAAAGTGGGTATTGAGGTATATTAATGGTTCCTTGAATGTTGGATTAGATTTCTGTAATAGGCATAATACACTTGACTTTGTTGGTTTTGTAGACTCTGACTTTGCAGGTGACAAAGATACAAGAAAATCCACCACGTCATATTACTTCACTCTTGGAGGAAATTGTATAAGCTGGAAGTCACAGCTTCAGCCTATTGTAGCCCTCTCATCGACTGAAGTAGAATATATTGCCATTGCCGATGTGTTTAAGGAAGCCTTATGGCTGCAAGGATTGTTAGCCGAAGCAAAGCTGACAGAGGGAAAGGTAACCATATATTCAGACAGCCAAAGCGCAATTCATTTGAGCAAGAACCTAGTTTATCATGAGCGGACAAAGCATGTGGATGTCCGCTTCCATTTTGTCAGAGACTTAGTTACTCAAGGGATAATAGATCTAAGGAAAGTATCTACTGAAGATAATCCAGCTGACATGGGAACCAAGATTGTCTCTCCTACAAAGTTCAAGCATTGCTTGAACTTACTGCATGTGAGGCAATCTGTGAAGACCAGAACAATGAGGGAACTGGTTTGGGTTTGCTGCATTAGAGTGAGTTCAAGCATTCAAGGTGAAGATTGTTGAAGTGAATGCTTGAAACGACGTCGTACTGGATATTAGTGGAACAATGTCGTTTTGGACAGCTTCAAGATGAATCCTGACCATTGATTCAATGATAATCCAACGGATGACAATTCCTCACAAGTCAACAATATAAAAGAGAAAGTCTTCGTTCGTAGACTAAGGGTTTTTCACACATCGAACTGTTCTGTATTCTTTTTACAAAATTAGGGTTCTTATTCTGGTTCTGTTTCTTTGTGTAATCTGTGTAATCTTGAGTGGTTTTGTTGTAATCATTTGAGGAAAGAGCATCTGTGTTCTTGTTCTAGGGATTCCAAGGTTAGAGTATTCCTAGGGTCAGATTATAGGTTGAATCAGAGGCGTGTGAGTTGGGTTTCTGGGCGTATTCGAGTCTAGGACTGTATGTAATTGATTCTATTAATCATAGTGCAGTGAACTCTCCTTTTCTGGAGTTCAACGTGGATGTAGCTTGTTTAAGATAGGGCAAGTAAACACGGTAAAATCTGATTATTGTTTATGTGTGTGCTTTCTTGATTCTGTTTGGTTGGTTGTGATTTGTTTCTTGGTTAGTTGCATAATAGGTATCTTCCATATTTGTACAATTACCTTAGTTTATTAGATTTGTAAGAGTTTTCTGGCATTGAGAGACAAGCTTGAATATAGGAATGAATACCTAAGGTAACTTAAAAAAAAAAAAAAATTTGTATATTAACTTAATTTATTGGAATGATTAATGCAAAAGGACAACTGTCATCAACTAAGATTTGGACAATTACCCAAAAGATGTGTACCCAAAAGATGTGTACATTAATTAGATCTACTAGAATGATTAATGCAAAAGGACAACCGCCGACAACTAAGATTTAGACAATTACCAGTACTTCGAATAATTGTTTTCTTGAAACAGCATATAAAAAGTTAACGACTATTTCCTACCCAAAAATATATTTAAATATCACTTCGAATAATTTCTTCGAATAATGGTTTTCTTGACACTTTTCCGGGCATATATATTTAAAATATTACTTTATTATATATATATTTATATTTTAACAATTAACAAAGAATAAATTCGGTCTAAGTTGTTAGAACTTTTAAAGAAGAAAAATTGATAAGTCTTTTGATGATAAAAAATTGAATTTTGGTGATTAAGATTGATCAAAATTTGATTTGAGAGGGACAGCGCTCGATTATTAACGATTGATGAGGTCGACGGAAGTTAGGTTTGAGGAGTTTTGATAAACGTTGATCGGAAAAGAGAATAATATTAGTGGTATAGGATCGCAACGATATCGGAATAAGAAATAGAATATAAATTTTAGTAAAGCGATATTATAAAAATTTATAGGTGAGAAAATATTATTAAATTATTATTTTGGTGGAAAAAGGTCATTTACGCACATATAAATTAATTAAAGGTATGATTTACAGAGTAGGATAAAAAAGAAAATAAAAAACAAATTTAAATATAACTAATATTAATTAAAAGATCAATAAATGATTTTGGGTGTATAAAGTTACTGATGGCCATGGACGTTCTTGAAGTTGAAGATGACAAATATAGCTACGTGATACCAGTTAATAAAGCATATTCACCCACCAACAAACTCAACTTATTACTTTTGATACGGAGCTGGTTTCAGCATTAAATTACAATACTCATTTGGGCCTAATACAGTAAAACTGTAAAACAATACATCTCTCATCCTAATATTCTATATAGAAATAATCTTTATATAATTATAAAAAATTCTAATCTCGACTTAGAATATTTATAAATAAGAATAAATTCCACATTGTAATAAGTTATAAGTTACAATTTAATTTTTTTTTTTTTATGACTAGTATATTCGAGTTAACTTGTGCACAACGTAACTAATTTTCAAGACTCTCAATTAATTCTCAAGATCTATTAAACATCCTACAAACCTAATATTTTAGGATAAGTCACAAATGTGATAGGTGACCCAAAAGTGATTCAAAGCAATCAATAAAATGAGCAAACCTTCTTAATTGTCAGGTCAACTTTGAGATTTAAATTTTTTTTTATTCTCGTCTTTACAAAGTTGTCTCTATATATACTGTATAACATTGTTCATTATAAATACTTCAAAATTCTATATGAACTTAGATTAAGATTGATAAAAGTTCTTGATTACCCTGTTCTAACATGTTGCCTAGCTGATATTATTGATTTTATCATTTTTTAATTTTTTTTTTTTAAAAGAGGGTAATTATACACCAAAAATATTGAAAAAGCAAAAGTGAATATCAACTTCAACACAAGAATATATGATCACGCATAACTAGAACTTAATATTCAAAACCTTAATACAATTTTCACACCAACATAAAGCATATATATATATAGCAGCAAACATTATATATATTCTACGAAGTCGAGCTGATCTTCTTCCATCTTGCTAGCATATAACATTCAGAAACTACTACAACAGCAACATCTAATTACGGAACACCAATAATAGGGAAGAAAGGAACATAATAGCTTGATGGCGCAAGCCCCCACTCTCTTGGAAGAGGTAAATCAACTGTCTTCGATGAACCAAACTTGGTTGCTGCATTACATTTACCATCTTTCATTAAAGTTGCAGGGCATGATACGGAGAAGGCTAAAGGAGTTGAGATGCGGAATGACTTCGCATTTTTGCCTTTCGCAACATTCGAAACCATGTTTTTCTTCGAAACATAGAGCTGGACTGGACCTCCGAGCAGCTTCGCCAGACAATTCAAAGGTTTTGGAGTCTTTTTAGTGTCCCATGGAAGCTCAACCTGGAAGGAACCCGAAACTTCTGTGGTTGCCACTGCCACCTTTTTCACTTTGTCACACTTCACCATAACCTTAAAGCCTGAAAAACATGAAACAGAAATTTTTGACCAAGAAATGTAGAGAAAAACGAGCCGCAGTATCCCAACAGAAAGAAAATATAAACATTTTACAAGCATGCAACATATATAGTTACAGGTCTACAACTTTAACCTGTTAAATCGTTGTTTCCATGGCAGTCGGAGCAAGAAACTTTTCCCTTGAGGACTTCATGGCATGTGGAAAGCTGGAAACTGATTGACAGAGCCAATGCAAAGAGAAGTAGTGTGAGAACTGAACGAAACCCCATTGAGGATAACTCTGAAAAGAGTGTAGTGTGAAGAGGAGATGGTGAATATTTGAGCTTATATACACAGAACTTATGAGTTATAAGAATTGCCACAAAGTTAATGCAGGGGCCCCAACGAGAGGTTGGTGGTTGGAGTTACTGAAACGCAGTTAATTTCAGTACCCTACCATGTTTATGATTCCCAGAACGAGCTCAAATAATCTTCCTACACTAACAAAACACACCAGGGCCCAGAGGACCGAAAGTTCAGAGATTCTGATCTTCAACGTTGACCTGATTAATCACCCTGCCGCCATAAAATTAAGAATTGAACTTGGAATCCTGAATTTCAAAGGGATTCTATCTAAAACGAGCTATATACTGGGTTAATAAAAAGATTACTTGCGGTACCTTAAACATTCTAAAATTCTAATTACTAAAATAGATTTTCTCCTGTATCAAAGGCATATTTAACTATAAAATCAGGTTAATTATTTATTTACCATTAATGAAATATAATAAAGACAAAAATAATCAAAATATGCTAACTATAGAGTCTAATACTATCTAGCATGATCTTTAATTTGAATGTTAAATGATACTATAATTTGGCATATTCTAATTTTATTTATTAAGAATTTATCATTTGTTGTTTTACTAAAAGTTTATATTATTGGTAAGATATTAGATTTAACGACTAGATTTTTCTTTCAAATTAAAACCTGTATATTTTAGAAAATTGTGATTATTAAATTGATTATATATGTTAAACCCCTCAAATGAGAAATACTAAAAAAAAGGTACTCGGAAGGACAATATTTAGGTTGGGCGATAAATTTAGCTGAAAAACTGTGAGGTGGTGATTTCAAGAATGTTGAAGAGGGAAGAGGGCATTGCATGCGCTCAAATTTATTAAACTTTTGTCTACAGTGAGTTTAAATTTTAATTTAATTTCCACGTTACATTTTTGCAAGGTTTTGACTTTTGTGCAAGCTTTCCCACCAGAAGGTCACCATGTCCTTCTATTCTGCTTGAGCTACTATTCCATCCTGAATTAAACCCTTGACTTAGCTTCACAACTCTCTTGTGAAATAAGCGAATGAAAAATTTCTTTTATTCATTTCTTTGTTATTATATGTATGCTTAATTTTCGTTAGATGAATATATACACAAGAATTCGTAAGATTGTTTTCAATAATATATATTTTTTTTTTGTTCAAATGGGTACATTTTTCTTTTCTTAATTTATGAGTTCAAACCATTTTGGGACCACCTATTATATTTGTGGCTTACTTGAAACATTACTTTGTAAGGTGTTTAATGAACCTTAGAGATTAGTTTAGGTGTGAGCAAGTTGGTCCGGATACCCCAATTATTAAAAAAAAAAAAAAAATGTTGATTATAGTATTATATCAAAAACACTTCAAATGCTTCTTTTATATATATATTACTATTATTAATATTATCGTTGAATGAAGCAGTGAATCTTATCTAGAGGAAAGTTTTATACCAACAAACCGAAATTGCAAAACAAAGAAAAGTAAATAAATAAATAAACCCCTTCATCAGTACCATATAGATTTATAAATGTATAGGGAAAGGAATACATTACTTTGGAATATGAAAAAATTTATGAAAATTGACAAGATCTACCATTCAAAGAGTCAATGGAAAATGTTAATTAAATGCATAAAATGTCGGTGATATTATTGATACATGCAAATGGTTGAGGACATTGAAGAGATTGCAGAAATGGTAGGTCATAAGGGGCCTAGGGTTTTCCATTACAAGTGCAACAAAAATCAAAAGGGAAAAGATTTGAGCGTTAATCCAAGACTGTAGTTTTGTTGAATAAATAGGCGTAAATTAATTAAAGGTATGATTTACGGAGTAGGATAAAAAACAAATTTAAATATAACTAATATTAATTAAAAGATCATTAAATGATTTCGGGTGGTTAATTGTTGATCTTGATCCCTTAATAAAGTTACTGATGGCCATGCATGGACGTCCTTGAAGACGACAAATATAGTTATGTGATACCAGTTAATAAAGCATATTCACCCACCAACAAACTCAACTGATTACTTTTGACACGTACTCGGTTTCAGCATTAAATTACAATACTCATTTGGACCTAATACAGGAAAACAATACCACCTCTCATCATAATACTCTAGAAATATAATCATAAAAAATTTTAGTCTCAACTTAGAATAGTTATAAATAATAATAAACTCCACGAGTTATAAGTTATAATTTAAAAAAAAAATTTATAACTCGTGTGTTCGAGCTAACTTGTGCGTAACTCAATTAATTTCTAAGACTCTCAATTAATTTTTAAGATCTATTGAATACTCTATGAGCTTAATGTTTTAGGATAAGTCACAAATGTAATAAATGACCCCAAGAAGTTAATGAGGAGAGCAAACCCTCTTGATCGTCAGATCAATCCTTTGGGATTAATTTTTTTTTTTATTCCCGTCTTAAGAAAGTTTGTCTCCCCAAGATAATAATTATATGTACTATATAACATTGTTCATTATAAATACTTCAAAATTCTAAATGAACTTAGATTAAGATTGATAAAAGTTCTTGATTACCCTGTTTTAACATGTCGCCCAGCTGATATTATTGATTTTATCATTTTTAAATTTTTTTTTTTTAAAAGAGTATAATTATACACCAAAAATATTGAAAAAGCAAAAGTGAATATCAACTTCAACATAAGAATATATGATCACGCATAACTAGAACTTAATATTCAAAACCTTAATACAATTTTCACACCAACATAAAGCATATATATATATAGCAGCAAACATTATATATATTCTACGAAGTCGAGCTGATCTTCTTCCATCTTGCTAGCATATAACATTCAGAAACTACTACAACAGCAACATCTAATTACGGAACACCAATAATAGGGAAGAAAGGAACATAATAGCTTGATGGCGCAAGCCCCCACTCTCTTGGAAGAGGTAAATCAACTGTCTTCGATGAACCAAACTTGGTTGCTGCATTACATTTACCATCTTTCATTAAAGTTGCAGGGCATGATACGGAGAAGGCTAAAGGAGTTGAGATGCGGAATGACTTCGCATTTTTGCCTTTCGCAACATTCGAAACCATGTTTTTCTTCGAAACATAGAGCTGGACTGGACCTCCGAGCAGCTTCGCCAGACAATTCAAAGGTTTTGGAGTCTTTTTAGTGTCCCATGGAAGCTCAACCTGGAAGGAACCCGAAACTTCTGTGGTTGCCACTGCCACCTTTTTCACTTTGTCACACTTCACCATAACCTTAAAGCCTGAAAAACATGAAACAGAAATTTTTGACCAAGAAATGTAGAGAAAAACGAGCCGCAGTATCCCAACAGAAAGAAAATATAAACATTTTACAAGCATGCAACATATATAGTTACAGGTCTACAACTTTAACCTGTTAAATCGTTGTTTCCATGGCAGTCGGAGCAAGAAACTTTTCCCTTGAGGACTTCATGGCATGTGGAAAGCTGGAAACTGATTGACAGAGCCAATGCAAAGAGAAGTAGTGTGAGAACTGAACGAAACCCCATTGAGGATAACTCTGAAAAGAGTGTAGTGTGAAGAGGAGATGGTGAATATTTGAGCTTATATACACAGAACTTATGAGTTATAAGAATTGCCACAAAGTTAATGCAGGGGCCCCAACGAGAGGTTGGTGGTTGGAGTTACTGAAACGCAGTTAATTTCAGTACCCTACCATGTTTATGATTCCCAGAACGAGCTCAAATAATCTTCCTACACTAACAAAACACACCAGGGCCCAGAGGACCGAAAGTTCAGAGATTCTGATCTTCAACGTTGACCTGATTAATCACCCTGCCGCCATAAAATTAAGAATTGAACTTGGAATCCTGAATTTCAAAGGGATTCTATCTAAAACGAGCTATATACTGGGTTAATAAAAAGATTACTTGCAGTACCTTAAACATTCTAAAATTCTAATTACTAAATTAGATTTTCTCCTGTATCAAAGGTATATTTAACTGTAAAATCAGGTTAATTATTTATTTACCATTAATGAAATATAATAAAGACAAAAATAATGGAAATATGCTAACTATAGAGTCTAATACTATCTAGCATGATCTTTAATTTGAATGTTAAATGATACTATAATCTGGCATAATCTAATGCTATTTATTAAGAATATATCATTTGTTGTTTTATGAAAAGTTTATATAATTGGTAAGGTATTAGATTTAACGAATAGATTTTTCTTTTAAAGTAAAACCTTTATATTTTAGAAAATTGTGATTATTAAATTGATTATATATGTTAAACCCCTCAAATGAGAAATACTAAAAAAAGGGTACTGGGAAGGACAATATTTAGGTTGGGCGATAAATTTAGCTGAAAAACTGAGGTGGTGATTTCAAGAATGTTGAAGAGGGAAGAGGGCAGTGCATGCGCTCAAATTTATTAAACTTTTGTCTACAGTGAGTTTAAATTTTAATTTAATTTCCATGTTACATTTTTGCAAGGTTTTGACTTTTGTGCAAGCTTTCCCACCAGAAGATCACCATGTCCTTCTATTCTGCTTGAGCTACTATTCCATCCTGAATTAAACCCTTGACTTAGCTTCACAACTCTCTTGTGAAATAAGCGAATGAAAAATTTCTTTTATTCATTTCTTTGTTATTATATGTATGCTTAATTTTCGTTAGATGAATATATACACAAGAATTCGTAAGATTGTTTTCAATAATATATATTTTTTTTTTGTTCAAATGGGTACATTTTTCTTTTCTTAATTTATGAGTTCAAACCATTTTGGGACCACCTATTATATTTGTGGCTTACTTGAAACATTACTTTGTAAGGTGTTTAATGAACCTTAGAGATTAGTTTAGGTGTGAGCAAGTTGGTCCGGATACCCCAATTATTAAAAAAAAAAAAAAATGTTGATTATAGTATTATATGAAAAACACTTCAAATGCTTCTTTTATATATATATATATTACTATTATTAATATTATTGTTGAATGAAG